TATTTCCCACTATGCCCAGCACTGGTCTTAGTTACATTAGGACAAAGTTTCATTGATTTGGTAGCATGAATACGTCCAGCCGTGTAAGAACCTTGTCTATAAAAGGGTTCTTCTAACAGCGGTAATACTGGACATACAATTTTTGGTAAAATGCGCTGAAGTACACAAAGCCTAAAAACAGTGAATTATTCTCACAAGTCAGGCTCTGTCCTGAAGTTTGAATAAGGGTAACTACATGCAAGCTGTGAGTAGGAAGCTTTTGAATACAAGAATAAAAAGTCATCTCTCTTTCAGCTTTTATTCTTCACTTTTCAAATCCTGAAGATTAGAAACTTCTTAAAGAAACTTTCAAATATGAAATGAACATACAGCAATTCATTTTTGAGCCTACAACAGAGCTCCAAAGTTGCTGTCCATTGTGGCATTCTAAAATGCCACAAAATGCAACACTGAGTAGTTACCTTTCCCTTCCAACATCTACAGCAGAAAGAACTTAAAATTTAACACCCTCTACATAAAAGACAGTCCTCAAAAAGGTCAGGCCAGCCTTCATGTCAGCTCAAATTGTTGACTAGGAGAGCAGTGTGTTTTGGACAGCTCCTGGATAGAAATTCCAGCATCCTCCTTTCCCAGGAGATGAACACCACAAAGTAGGTACACTTTTCACCAAACAACTTAAGGATCATCTTTTCAGTTTGCCACGTAATTATTTTAACACTGACACACAGGTCTGTAAAGTGCACTTGATATATTTCGCATTTGGAAATCCTGTAACATTATCCAATAGTAGCTTAGTACAAATGAACTGAAGAGTGGTAATTTCAATTATTTAAAAAATAAGCGTGTGTCAGCATAATCTGGCAGCATATATTATAGGTTATAAAGTCAATTTGCATTACTTCCCTTATTAAAACAAATAAGGATGCAAGTTTGAACTGCAAGGTTAAATTTAAAGAGTTGTAATGCCATTTTTAGAAAATTTGAACTTTTTCAAAGTCAGACAACTAGCTAATTAGCTTCAGAGGGGTAGCCGAGTTAACTAGCTAATTAGTTGTTGTAGAAACAGTCACCCATACATAGATACTATTATAGACGTTCTAGCAATCTTAACTTTATTATGATTTAAACCTAATATTAACCTTGTCTTGACCTCATGAATTTCGAAGAAATGCTGAAAGACTAAATATATCACCATTCATTTGGTCAATGAGAAATTGCAACAACTGCTCAACATTAAAAAATATAAATAATTCATACAGCTATCATTTACAGATGGAGCTTGTGAATTTCATCATTTCTCAAGTACTTACGCCCATTCCATACATATTAGCATCATACTTATGCTAGTTTAAAAGGGAATTTTAATCAAGTTCACTAAAACAGTAAGCAAGCTATTTAACACTGGATGTAGAAGAAAATAAATATCAATACTCACTGTTAAGCCAGTTTCTTCCCCCTTTAAGATAACTGGCAAGTTAAATGCATTGCTGCAGTGTTTATTCATCACAACAGCTGCTGTATACTGTTAAACAGACAAAGTGCACACAACTACTCATTTGTCTTAAACTTATAAGTGTATTTCTCTTATTCAAAGACTGACTTTATTTTTCCTGTTACAGACTAACTCGGCTACCCCTCTGAAGTTATATTGATATTATTTGAATATTGTCCAGTTCTCAAACACAAACCTATACCAAATTTGAGGATGATTCCTACAAACTAAATAGCAAGTAACATTACTCCTCCTAAATAAGAACACACACTCATTTCAGCAATCTGGAAATCTTATATTAAAATCTAGCCAAAGTCACCAATCGGCATCTTTTCTTGACAAGCAGCTGTTATCTGAGAAATTAACCAAATGTTACTGTACCTTTGGTCTAATTCATGGAATTTTAAAGCGGTGAAGGAAACTATATTAAATATGTCCGTGCCCTTGGATAGCAAAGACGGGGGGGGGTTGTTTCTATAGCCTATGAATGATACAAGTGTGAAGCAATGATGTAAGTAACACACACACACACAAATGGAACAGCAAACATTTAAAAGTTTTGATTTTTAAGAGGAACGGGGAACAAGCTTGTTTAAGTAAAGAAGTGCATGAAAAAGGATGCCACCTTCTCCCCTGACCTTTTTTTTTTTTTAATAGGGAAAAGGCATTCCTCCAAGGATACTTCATGTGATCTGCATCCTTTTAAATTCATTTTTGGGACTTCCTAGCCTAGTAGGGTTCATGTGAAAAACAGCTCGTATACAAAACATTCATCATCTTTCTATGTAATTTTAACTATTGACTCAAAATTTTACATATTTGACCAATAACCTGAAGTACATCTGTATAACTAGGACATTCCTGCAAGAGAAATTAGAGTTTCACATTTTAATTATTTAAATGGGAATGGTTATTTTGGCTCAAAATGACTTTTTATGCTAAATCAAAATAAGCAGCTCTTAATGTGCCACAGATTTCTACCAGTCCACATCAATTTAAAAATCAATTTTAACTAAACCAATCAAAATGTTCTTATTGAGATAATGCCTAAACTTTTTCAAAGTTCCATGCCTTTGAAAAAATAGTATTGAATTTCTACAGTAGACTACAAAGCAACCTGTCTCATGTTAAATTTCATTTAGCTCTTTAAAAACATAAAGTTAATAATGGATATTCTATCTTCAGTTACTAGATAGCAAAAATCTTAGATGCCCTCTTCTAAGAGCACTACTTACTCTGCTTATTGTTGAAGACAAGCAATTCTTTTCTTCTTTAAAACCCAATGAGGGATGGGGAGGGGAAATCTGAGTTCCACAGAATCCACATACTCTTGTGCTATAATCAATAACTCCCCCCTCTGGTTATTGCATCAGAGCCCAACTTATTTTCACTGAATCCAATTAACTGTGAAAATGATTTCATGAATCTGTAAAGCGAATTATGTAGCCACTACATTTTTTCCAATTTTCAACCTAAACAGCTTTTGTAAGTTTATAAGTAAGCCTGTCAGTGTTCAAAATTTAAAACCTACAAATCAATAACTATATAATACTGGCAAATACTTTACCATTTTTAAAGTATGTATTTTCTAGAAGTGATTTTGAGAAACTTGAAGCAAAAATGCATATGCATTAGTAGGTTTACAGTTTATACATACAGCTAGCTATAAACCCAAATCTTCTGATAAAATCCAATCATCCATTAAATTAAAGAAATAGCCATAAATAAATTCAGAATACATTGTTATTTCAAAATGGAAAAATATTACTACCATTGTTCAATATCCTGTTTATTGAACTGCTGATACTAGTACTTTGGCACATGTTCCAATCAACTGATACATCGCTAAAGACAGGTAGGATGTTTAAAGTCGTCATCATCTCTTCTGACAACTCAGATCAGCTAAACAGAAACAGCAGAGATAAGTTTCAAGATAATACTACAAGAAAACATTGCTGTCCCAAAAACTTTATAAGTATTTTGTTTTGTGATTAGTATCTAGCACTATAGGATCTAAAGATTTATAGATACTCCATATTCTGGAGAGAATTTGGAAAGTGGGTGGAAAAGGGGAAAGAGGAAAAGCGCTGAAACAGTTTTTATATTTCAAATGTATGAAAGTAATATATACAGTATTCTGGCTTTCCTTTAATTACTTCCAGTAAAGAGCAAGGGGGTTTTTGGGGTGAAATTAGTGTAAAATTTATTTTGTACCCATCCTCTCATAAATGTTTAAGAGACAAACAGAATACTTTCTGAGGCAAGACAAACATCCAACTTTAAAAAAGCTTTTCAATTATAACTGTGGAAATAATACATAAATTATGAAGCTGATTGCAAATTCTGGTTATAATTCACAAACACTGCTATGTCACACCACTTTGCTACCTAATTGACGGGTTTGCAACAACAGCTGATTATATGTCAGTGTAACAGCATTGTCACACAGCACTGCTCTTTCTTGCACTCTGCTTAAACTCTTCTCCAGTAATGCAATTGCTCCATTCTCTCTCCATCCTGATCCAAACCAGTACTTTGAATCTACTCTTAATGGAAAAAATATTATGAAGAATTACTGATAAAAAGCTACACACAGCTATAATGCCATCATGGAATTTGAAAGACATAACTATGCAAGAGTTATTCTTGTTTGTTAGGCCCTCACTGCACTACTTCAAGATGAAATGGTTGCCTTGGTTGGGTGTATATGGTTTTGAATATGCTTGTAACTGCTAAATTCCATGGCATAGCCTTTATAAGTAAGTTAACTGCAGCAAATCAGAATATCCCTTTTCAGTATTGTAAATGAAATTTTGCTTGAAGTGTTATTTTTGTGCAAAGCTAATGAGAACCTATTTGGGCACATTTCTATTCATGTCTTGTCAGTTTACAGCCCATAGGGCCACAATGCATGCCTTTTCAACTGACCTTATATATAAAGGCATTCAAAGGAAAAAAATGTATTTTGAACAAGTGGCATAGTGGCAAAAGGGCTTCTACTTCAAATAAAATCGGAGCCCACAGATACAATTCTAACACCTGAACCACTATTTTTTCTTAGCTATTGTGAGTCATTTGCATATTGTGCACCATGTGTCCAGAAGGCAGTGACTACCCACCAGATCATAGCACCGGCTTCTTAGACTCCACAACGGGCCTCGGGCTTGCCAGCTTCAGTAACAATGACATACGTTTTGCTGACCTGCCTGTTTCATGTGAACGGGACAAACGCTAGAAGAGATTTAACACAACACCCAGATGCGGACGCCACTCTCTGATATCAAGCACCCAGTTAGACATCACGCGTGGCCAGCCCCACTACTCCACATGGGCACTATACCTGGCAGAACCCACCAGGCTGATTTCCACTCCCAGGGCACCGGGCCTGTCAGCCCCACCAGGGTGACCCCGGCTGCACTACAGCTTCCTATCCCAGTCCTGCTGTAGGTGCCCCAGCGGGCAGCAGCACAGCCGGCCGGGGCCTCGGCACCACAGGTCAGGGCTTTACCTCCACTCCCTGCGCCTCTCGGCCCTGCCGGCCGGCAATCCCGCGCCCTGAGGCGACACCGGGTTCCCCCAGCTCCTCAGCGCCTGGCAATGGCGGCGGCCCCGCTCCCCCTCCCAGCTCCTCGCTCACTGGCTGCGCCGCTTCATGTGACCGAACAAAACCCTCCTCGGCACAGCCCTTTGTGTCCGGCCCGGCCGGGGCAGCGGAGAAGCCGCCCGCCGGCCCGCGGCCCCGGAAAAGCC